CGATCTCTAGCACTTAAAGCAAGATGAAAGAGCCAAGCTGCAAGAAATCGTAAGTAGATTTTCTTTATTATTTTCTGATAAGCCAGGGAACACCCCAATAGTAACTCATTCTATTCAATTAAAATCAACAGAAGCTTGTAAAGCGAAACCGTACAGGTACGACAAAGAGAAAGAGGCCATCATTGAACCATACAATACAAGAATTGTTAAAAAATAAAATCACAACTCCCATAAATAGTGAATATGCGAGCCCTGTTGTGCTTTGCTGGAAAAAGAACAATTTGCCCCCCACGGATTCCAAAGTATATCGCTTCGCTATAGATTATAGAAAACTTAGTAATAGTTTAACTAAATTTCCGGTTTACCCTTTACCCGTGATTGAGGAGATTAGTAGGAAAATAAAATCTACAAAATTTATGACTACTCTCGATCTTACCTCAGGATATTTTCAAATAGCCATGAAACCTAATGACGTAAATAAAACTGCCTTTATTACTAAAACAGGCACTTATGCGTTTTTACGTGTGCCTTTCGGTCTATGCGGGGAACCCTAAACTTTTCAACGTGCCATGGATATTATTTTACGTCCTGTCCTCGGGAAATACACTTTAATTTATTTAGATGGTATCATCATAACAAGCAATACTATATAACAGATAAAAGACTTCCACGAAGTTTTTTCATTATTGAAGGCAGCGGGAGTAACCGTAAAATCATCCGAATGTAAATTCGTAACAAATAAATTAATATATCTAGGGTACAAAATCTCAGCTAAAGGTATTGAGACTGAGGATTCGAAGATGAATGCTATTAAAAATTACCCTCCGCCAAACACGGTAAAGAAGTTGTCATCTTTTCTTGGACTATGCTCGTACTACCATACGTTTATTCAAAACTTCGCTAATATTGTAGAACCTTTGCTATTGTTAAAACGGAAAAAAATCGAAGTTTGCGTGGATAGCGAGGAAGCAACACAGGCATTTTGAACAATTGAAATCAGCTGAAATTAATGCACCGGTATTCAAAGTTTCATGGAAGAGGATGAGAGGTTGGAGATTACGACTGAGGCCTCAGATTACGCCGTGTGTGCGGTTGTTAATGCAAAAAAAGACATCCCCTGGCATTTTTAGCGAAAACGTTAAACGATACACGAGGGAATTACACAGCGGCCGAACAGAACGAAAACATCAGCCATGGTTAATGGCAGTTCAGAAGTTTCGAATATATTTCGGAAAAGCGCCCGTTACTGTATATTCAGACAATGCGGCCGTAGGTAGTCGATATTTGGGAAAGAATTTAACTCCTAGACTAATTAGATGGACCTTAAAGTTAAAAAAGTACAACTTAATAATTAAGCATACTCCAGGTCAAAAAAAAAAAAATACCGTGGCCGACGTGCTATCAAGAATGAAGACAGATAACAATGGGGATCAAATAAAATGCGCAATTTTGACGTCTAAAGTTTTAGGTTCCCGAGAAACTATCATTTCTGAATTGATAAATGATCCAGAATTTGGTAATACTCGTATCTAAGCTTAGATTTTAACGAATTACAGAAATGATCCAGATAATTTCGAACATCCAGACCTTGCCGCTATTAGAAATAGAGCCCAAAATTACAAGATTGTAGATAATTAGCTGTTTTATACTAAGTTTGCGAATGAAAACTCCGAATATAGGCCAGTCATCCCAGCCGCATTAAGGCTAAGCATTTTGCAAGAATTGAATGACGCCCCGACTGCTGACCATCTTGGGGGTGAGGAAAACGGTGCGTAGGTTACGCCAGGCGGTGTATTTTCCGCAACTACAGAAAGTAGTAACTGCCTATGTCAGGTCCTGTAAATTACTCTGTCAGTTAATTAAGGAAGTTAATTATAGCCCGACCGGGTACCTAAATAGTATTCGCGCGACTTTTCCTAATGAAATTCTTGGAATAGATCTTCTTGAGTCTTTTTCCCAAAGTGAGTTAAATAAAAATCGCTATCTTTAGTAATTGCTGATCATTTCTCCAAGTGGATAGAAATAATTCCGTTAAAGCGAGCGTCGACTAAATTAGTCTCAGATGCGATTTTGCATAAGTATATCTTAAAATACGGTGTACCGTTAAAAGTAATAAGTGATAATGGTACACAGTTGTTAAGTCAAATATTCGAGGATTTATGTAAACGGCTTGACATACGGCATATGAAAATGGTCCCTTATAGGCCACGGTCTAAAATCGCGGAAAGAGGAAATAAGAACATAGTTAAAATAAGTTATGTTAAAAATTATGGTAAGCGCTGTGATGGCTGCATCGATGAACTAGCATACGCTTTAAGAACTGCCAAACATGACACGACAAGAAGCATATAAGTATTCTCCACGTACCACTCCACGCGCATAGGGAAAATTTCGTACTTGTGATTGGACCATACTTCCCAATGACATAATTTTCTCTTGGCGTATTGACGTTTAGACGGGCTTCATACGGTTTTGTTTTCGTTGAATGACACGCATGAGTCCAGCGGAAGTCCGGAAATCATCGTTTATTTTCTTTGAAGCGAAAAAAAATTTAACGGCAGCGTTCTGCAGATGGCTTATAAAATATTTCAAAGACGCTGTTAATATCAGAAGCAATCTTAAATGTTTTGATTATATAAATAGCTGAGTTCATGAATTTAGTGCAAAAACCAAAGCGCTGCGATCTCGGTCCAGTTATAAAGGCATTGTGTGCCATTAAGTATATAGTCATTATTGCAGTTTGTTGCATTCTGTTCTCTTCACATTGAAGAAAATATTTCCTCTGCAAATATTACATTATTTCCATGCTAACGTCCATGTCATTTTTAAAATTTTGTTGCCTTAAATGAAAGAAAAGAGCGCATTCAGTACTGTCGGTGAATATTATATATGTGTATAAGAAAAGAAACTTCCTTATCTGATAAACACTAATTTTATGCAAAGGTACAAAACATGTTACACATAAAAAATGGGTAATATTCATAAAGTAATATTTTAAAGTTTTAAATACGTATCTCTATTTCTATGTTCCAAATCTATATTAGTGTAACTTCAAAATTATAACTTACTTTTCCAGACTGATTATAAATATTGTGAATTTACCATGTTAGCTCTCAAAGGTGTTTTACTACTTCCGAAAAATGACTTGAACCATGTTTTCGGAGACTGCATCTGCAGAAAATGGATATATAATGAACATAAAATAATAACATCTTTAATATGAAGTGTTTTAAATTAAGAATATATTTATTAACAATTTCTGTACTTAATACACATTTACGGAGTTAGCATAAGAAGAAATAAAAAATGTTCTCTCTTTTTTTTTTTTTTTTTTTTTTTATACTAACCCTTTAACTACCGCGGAAAACATACAAGATTCATTTCCCAGTGCCACAGATTTTCACACAGGCCCGCGTAGTTATGCGATGTATTAGGGGGGAAATAAGTTCAAGTTTTACTTTCTAAAAACTGTTTACTTTCACAAAATAAAGAATAATAAAAGAAAGATTTAAAGAAAAAAATAAATGCACAAAATTTAATGTTTTGAGTAAAAGTATAATAAAAAAGATCCCTAAAATGGAATTTCGATCAATTCATTTTTAGACCAGTAAAGTGTAATATCAGGTTTCAGTGTTATACCTTGTGAAATCAGTATGCCTAAAAAAACATATATTTCTTCTGAACTGGTTGAATGTCACGATTTTGTTCTTGATTTTTCGTTTGCAAGGTGTTGGTTCATATACTCGTCTACAAAATGGTTAGTTTCAGTAACAATCTGAAGCACGAGCAGTTCATCAAAAAATAATTCAAAAAAGATAAAAATGGGTTTGAAACATCCATTATATCCTTCTTTATTCCAGGAACCTACTATAAAAATTAAACGGAAGAATAAAAAAAAAATGCGTTTTACTCAAAACTACACCAGCCGATACCGCGCAGTAATTATTTTCACCGCTTTAGACACACCCCTCTCTTCAATTTCTACCCACACTTCTCTGAAATAGTATTCTCCTTCGCATACTTTGTCAAGGTCATTGTGGTGTTGCATTCGAAAGCTCTGCGAATAATTTTCGGGTAGCAGGGCAAAGCAAATGATAGTAGTTTGGAAGGGCGTATAAATACGCACGGGCCAGTTAACGCATCGGCTTAGCAAGGAGTATATATACGCCAGCGGCAGTTAACGCATCGGCTGAGAAAGGCGTATATATACGTTCGCGGCAGTTAAGGGGTTAAATTCGCCACACTAAGGCGTTGTAAGAAGTGTAATCTCATAGCACAAAAATACAAAGCACCTAATAATATTTTTGTTTCTGCTATTAAAAGTTAAATAAACTTTATGGAAGTATACCTCGAGCACAAGCAAAGTCAAGGCAAGTCAAGTGTAGAGGAAAGGGTGCCATTGGGAACCATATCCAATCATGAGGAGGGATTTTTCCTATGTGCGTGGCAAGGTGCCGTCGGGAAAAAAAAAAAAAAAAAAAAAAAAAAAAAGTAAACTGAATTATTTCTGGGTAGAAAGATTTTGACACCACTCGATAAATTATTTTTCGTCCAAGAACGGGAGCCTGAATTTAAGCAGGCGAACATTCAAAAACTAATTGATGAATCGTTAAAGAATTCAGAAGTAGCAAGAGAGCGGCAAAATGTATATTACGATAGTAAACACCGCGAAGCAGATTTCAAAGCGAGGAATAAGGTTCTGAAAAAAAAAATTCACCCTGTCCAGTGCTCCAGAAAATTTTGTATCTAAGTTTGCACATAGGTTTGAAGGTCCCTAAATTGTGCAGCAGATCGTCGGGGCTGTAATTTATATCACTTCAAATTCAGACAAAAAATAAAGGCCGGCCCGTATCAATTAAAGAAGTATTACGACAGAAAAGATTTTAAAATTCTAAATAGTTTTTCTGCACGGTTCCGAGACAGAAGAGGCAGCAGTAACAATAGCGCTTTCAGTCCCAGCAGCGCTTCCACCTCCGGAGAAAAAGAAAAGAACCGACGGGATGATAAGGCCGCAGACAAATCGAAGAGTCCCCAAGAAAAAAGAAAAAAAAAAAAAAAAAACTCCGCAACAGTTGGAAGCTCCAACGAGCAAGAAATTTAAGAAATCTAAATCGTCCAGAAGAAAGGTCGCACGCAAGAACAAGGATAGCCGTGCCCGGACAAGGTCTCGCAGTAGACAATACCAGAATACAGCGAAGACGCAATTTACTGAAAGAACGACAAGACCACCGCTGAGGAGGACAAAGAGATCGGCAGAGGCTCAAAGCTCTCAACCCAGCCCAAAGCAACCAAGAGTGTCCATGCAACAGTCATCAACTACGTACCTTCCAAGAACCAACGTTCCGACAGAACCTTGCGTTCCGGCCAACAAACGGAAAAACCAGGAGCCTCCACCATTCCACACTAAGAAACCTATGATTAGGAAAGAAAAAAGACAAGACCGACCCCAGATAATAGTTTATTACGAAGTTTGATGTTCAAGTCAATTGTCTCTGTGGAGGACTAAAGTTAGTTCAGTGTATTTCTCAAAAGCACTAAGCTAAAATATATCATAGAAATGTAATGTTAATGCAAAGAATCAGTAGTTCAGGTTTTGTTTGTCGAAAGACTATTTGTGTTTGCACGCCATACACGCATTACTCATATTAGTACTTGTTAATAAGAATTTGTTTTAGGTTCGCCTTTTTGGCGAGAAAAAAGTGAAGTAATATTGTTTTCTCTCGTCTTCTCAAGACGTACCGGATTGTATCAACTGTAAACTGTTCAACTGCACATATGGAACCTACATCAATACTTCACATGCTGCATTCTCCCCCAAATGCCCATTATATCAGAGGGAAATCTCAAAAATTAAAGCTGCTGCAGTTTACACATCAAAGCAAGAAGAATAGTTAGCTTACTACCTAGTTTCTTTTAAGTTAATTTAAACTTCCCTTTCTCTACATGAATCCATCAAGTACTACCGCCGCCCATTCAATTCCCCAATCTCAACTGTTTACGACAATTTTACACAATAATTCGCCTCCACAGGACAAGCTTAGAATCCTTCAAATAAACTTAGGCAGAGGAAAAAAAGGCGTCAGAACAACTTAGTGAAGTAATTGAAAAATAACAATCATGATGTAATTTGCATTACTGAGCCGTATTGCGTAAAAGGTGAAGTTAGATGCCTTCCCCTTCACTGGCAAATATTTCAATCTACCGAAAAGGATCCTCTAGTTAACCCACGTGCCAGTATTATAGTCACCAATACCAAATGGTCCCCTACAATTATATTAAGCCATAGAGATGTGATGACGATAAGTATTAACTGTAAATCAGAACAGCTATTAATTACTTCCATTTACTGCTCACCACGAGAGGAGGATATGGGGCCGAATCTCCACACATTAGAAAATATCTTTAGTAATCTCAGAAGATCACAGCACGTGATTACAGGTGACTTCAATGCTCACCATCAAATGTGGCATTACAATAATACAGATAATAGAGGACATACACTAGCTGACTTTATTGCTACACACAATCTGTATATACATAACCTCTCTTCAGACACTCCTACATTTGAAACAACAAATGGTAAAGGATGGCCGGACTTGACACTGTCAACATTGAGTATCTCCAATAAAATACAAGAATGGAAAGTTCTTGATGATCCAAGCCACTCAGATCATAACTACATCTCATTTGAATTATCAGAAGAAATCCCCGACCTCAAATTAAGAAGATTTTCAATCTCAAAGCAAAAAGCAAGGCAATTTGGAAGAAAAATCTCCACATGTCTTCAGTATGCGGAGAAAACTTATAGATAAATGCACATCACCCGATGCAGTCCATGATTTAATGGAAACAATTATCAAAACAATACAGGAGACAGCGACCAACACATTTAAACTCCGTAACAACAACAAGATTACGAAGACTAACTGGTGGACAAAGGAATTAAGACGTGAAAAAGCAACATACAAGGGCCCTTCGTAGAAAAATGAAAAGTGCTCCGGAAGGGTTGAAAATGGAAATATGGATAAAATACAAGCAACAGCAACAATTAGCAAATTACAAAAAGAAAATAACTGAAGCAAAATTACGCAGCTGGAAGAATTACTGCTGTAGTAATAAAGATACATACGGCCAGCTGTATAAAATGGCTACAAGTAAAGTTTTTAGTCCCGCACATATCGGTCTTTCGAGAGATCAACTCTCACGTAACAGCCAGCTTGGTAATGTCACTGAAAAGATTCTCAACAATATTCTAGATGTTGTCTTTCCTAAAAGATAATGCAGAAGACGATGGCCACTCACATTCCGACATTAGATACAATAATACCGCTCCAAATACTCCAGACGATGTGGAATTCCACTCACAAGAAATTTCAAAAAATTATTAAGTATCTTCCGAATAATAAAGCTCCGGGACCTGACGGATTAGACAACAGGGATTATTAAGATAATTCACCACGCAATGCCTTTTCTGTTCCACAAACTACTAAACCTCTGCCTCAAATTTTATGTCTTCCCGAATTGTCTCAAACAGGGACAAACAATACTATTCAAGAAAATAATAAAGATCCTACGGATCCGGAAGCCTTCAGACCAATCAACCTCTTACCTGCAATAGGTAAACTTCTGGAACGTGCAATCGCGGGCAGATTACGCCACCACTTAGAGAAAAAAACGAAACCATAAGCCCCAACCAATACGGCTTCAGACCTCTCAAATCTACATCACATGCGATAGTAGAACTTCAAGAGCAGATCCGTAGGAATAAATCTTCAGCTCTCCATACAGCAGTACTCTGCATGGATCTCAAAAATGCGTTTGACTCCGTGTGGTGGCCTGGTATCCTTGAAGCCTTGCGCAACATTAAATGCCCTCAGAACATATTCAAGCTAATGAATAGTTTTCCTAACAAACAGAGCAACGATAATCATCAGCAACAACTGTATAGTAGAAAGAAGAATAACGAGGGGCTGTCCACAGGGCTCTTGTCTAAGTGCAGACCTGTGGAACATCACCTTCAATTATATCACCTCCTACAAGTGGCCGGACCATACAAAGCTCATCGCCTTTGCCGACGATGTGGCCTTTGTAACAAATGGGCATTCAAGAGACATACTAGAAAAGAATAGTAACGAGACTCTCTCCATATTCCATTCCCTCTGCGTCAATCAAAAACTAATAATTTCAGAGCCCAAATCACATATTATTTTATTTCCAAAACCGGGCAAATCGCTACAAAGGCTACCTTGCATTAAAATCAATAATAGAAGAATCAAGATCTCAAAAGAAATCAAATTTCTTGGATTGAAAATTGACCAAAAGTTTTCTTGGATCCCACACCTCATGGAAATTCGGAAGAAGACCCAAACTATTTCTAGAGCCCTCGCAAGGATGCAAGGCACAACGTGGGGCCTCAAGTCGAGGATGCAAAACATTCTCTATAATACCGTGATCGAAAAAATAATCCTCTACGGGGCATCAGCATGGACTCACCCTATGACAGTGAAAAAGAAAAGACTCTTAGCTTCGATCCAACGCCCCTTCCTCTTACAAATAGCAAAAGCATACAGAACTACCTCAACGGCAGCTCTCTGTGTATTAACAGGAATCCCACCCCTCCACCTGAAAGCAAAAGAAGATGCAGACTTAGCCACGTTATTCCACCTCAAGAAAAACATAGAGGTAGAAGATCAAAACCTGTGCCCCCTTGATTTTGAACAGCCACGAAATCCTTACCTAAGACACCCTGCAGTACATGCAAAACTCAGAATATCTACAAAAGAAGACAACCCTCAGTGTATCTTCATTTCCAGTCGTGTACACAGATGGGTCAAAGTTAAACGAAGAAGTAGGATGCGCGTTCTTTGCACTCCTCTCAGAACAAGAAACAACAGAATGGAAAAGGACACCTAAGGAAACAACAACAGCGTTTTCCAAGCTGAGCTTTCAGCCATAAAACACGCTATTCTATGGTCTCATCAAAAGCATCTAACTATGTCACCATCTTACCAGTCTACAGTGATAGCCAAGCGGCAATTAAAGCTGTTGATGATGCAAGAAACAAATCATCAATAGTACAAGATATCTATGATTTAATATCACAGCACAACAGAACATCTATAAAAATAAAGTGGGTAAAAGCGCATGCTGGACAAGCCCAAAATGAAAGGGCAGATGCGCTTGTTAAAATGCAGCTCAAGACCCATCTCTACCTCCAATCAATGTCCCATTCCCTAAATCGTATGCGAAACATATGTTGAAAAAAATTACATTAAAAAAATGGCAAACTAAATGGGAAAATGCAGAAGTAGGTAGAAGGCTTTTCAACTTCTACAAGAAAACCACATAGGATCCAATCTCTTATAACTTCTTCATCAACATATTCTTATCTGGACATGGTCCTTTCCCCACGTACTACTTTGCACGAAATTTGAGCGATTCAGACAAGTGCGTATGTGGGGAAAAGGGAGACCCAGAAACACTATATTTCAAGTGCCAGCTCACAAAAGAGCTACACTGCAAAGGAAGGTCACAAATTACGCCTGAGTACATTAAATGCATGCTAACGATACCTCAATTACAACAAAAGGTTTCCTTGATTATGAAGAAACTTTTTGCATATAAAAGAGAAGACATATGTCAAGATGCTATCACATCTGTATAAATACCTCTTATTCTACAACTTGCAAAAATAATGCAAGATTTCAGAAATATTGCAAGTGTCTGAAACAGGCTAAATATGGTATAAAATAGTTTTTATAAAATAGTTACATTAAGAATTTGGACTGTATTAGGATGATAGGGAAAAATCTTGTAATAATTAAATCATTAATTAAAAATAATATAAATAATATACGACTCTATTAGATATATTAGTGTAAATGTAAGTATTATGTGATTTTCTAATGTATATTTTCTGTATTTATGATACATTAATTTACAAAAATAATAATGTATGACTTCAGTGCTGATGCATTTGTGTGTAACAAGTTAAAAAATGAAAGGAAATGTATTAATAAGAGAATTCGCCTTAGTAATTCAACTAAGTATGATAAAATGCACAAAAAAAAATCTTCAATTAGCTCCTTAAAATGATGTTTATTTTAATTCGATGTAACTAGATATACTAATGTAAATATATTGTTTGTATGAAGTACAATGTACAATGAAAGTTTGTATGTATGTTCGAAGTAATTATGTTATTTCAATCTGCCATAATCCAACTTTTGTTAATAGGTTAATTTCTTTGCAATAATTGTATACTATGTCTTTGTAATTGTATATTCAATACGTAAGTCTAATATTAATGTAAAATTACTATGTAAATGTCTTGGTAGGCTAGCATCCGATGCGGGCCAACTAAAAGCCCAGGGGGATACAGTAGTGCGGCGGAGCAACACCTGTAAAAGTCACTGACGAAGTTCTGGTGCTCCGTCCAATTTTCCCTGTCCCTGTTTTCTCTCATTTTATTCTC